AAGGAAGGGGAGAAATTCAACTTGTCGCTTTTCAACAAAGTCTCACTTTCCACTTTTTTCCTCAACTTGAACAAAAAAAGAAGAACTAAACAGAAAAAAAAAGGGAGGGAAAAGACCTTGAATTGTGGAATTGGATATCGAATTCATTCCTCAATATGCCGAGTACTTTCTTCTTAAGGGACGACTCTCGAAAAGAAGAGGAAGCCCTTCAACCAAAGAAAGAAGAAAGAAGATACTCGATCGACAGAGGAAAAAAGAATTATGAAACTAGACCAACACCTTTCCTTGACAAGAATTGGATATCGAGTACGAACCTCCTTCAGTCGAGAATAAAATATCTAAAAGAAAGACTTTTGACAAAGAGGAGGCGACCAACAAAAGCAGAAAGAAGATATGAAACTCAAGCTATGGTTAGGAATTGGATATCGAAGAAAGACCTCAAAAAGTAGAGTACATACCGGAAGGACCACCTTCTAGAAAAAAGAGGAGAACCATCGACCAACAAAAGAAAAAGGAATATCCTCAACAAACAAACGTATAGAAAAGATAGTAGAGCTAGATAGGAGCACCAAGTCAGAGTGACGATAGGAACACCAAGTCAGAGTGACGAAAGGAACATCAAGTCGGAGTGAAACGGAACGCGGTAGCTTCTATGTGTCCTAGCTAGATAGAGGAAATGTGGTTTGTAATAAGGTTTATAAAAGACTTAGGAGAACCAAACCGGAATGAAATGAACCAAATCAGAGTGACGCCAGGAGCGAAGATGCGGTAGTTCGTAATGTCCAATATATGTAGAAGCAACATAGTTTGTTTTCTAGTGACTTTGGAGAGAAGGAAAGCTAAGAAGGGCAAGCTTTCTATTTTTAGCAACTGTGAAGAGCATGGAAACGACTTACAAGCTACCATTCTTAGCTCAATACAATTCACTCAATTCTTAGTTTCCAAGCAACATAGAAGTCATATGGCTTGCTTAGTTCTCTATATCTATGGAAAGCAAGAAAGACGCGTGTAGGTACAATAAACAAAGAAACCTCAAATAAAGCAGGACTAAGTCTCAAGCCAAGCAAGTTTGCCAGTAAAAAGCAAGTGGGGCGTTTAAGGGATTGAATGCTCTCCTCCTTTTTCCTTGCTTTCCTCCTTGCTCTCCTTCCTTCTAACCCAAGTAGTCCACACGTTAGAAATTAGGCACCAAGTCGGAGAAGGAAAGCAGTCAGAAAGAAAGCCAAGTCAAGCAGGAAATCACCAAGTCGGATTAACCTCGCTCGATACACGCCAAGCCCAAGTCGGAGCGGCACCAGAAGAGAAATCGTAGCGGAACTACTTAATAGAGTAAGAGAGGCACCATTGAGGAGGCACCTAACCGAATACGAATAAGAAGAGTTCCTACATGAACGAGTCAACTCAACAGGCATTCTATTTTTCTTTCACACATAGACAGGCTAAGCGAACTCTTGGCTTGTCTTTCTAAGAACCAATCGTAGCACCACCAATCATATCGGTAGCAATTGTAGCGCAACCATCTCATCAACCAACCAATCGTATCGGAAACAAACTTAGAGGAGAGGGACTAAACCTAAGAAAAACGAAACTCACTTCACTTACAGCACAGGCCCGAACTAGACGTTCGAACTAAGAAACCGTAGCGGAACCATCACTTTGAGTAGGGGAACCGAGGCACGAGTCGTTTGGAACCAGAAGAGAAACCAATCAAACACGATAGAAACGAACACGTACGAAATCAAAGCACCATCGTCGCAGTGGAACCATCACTTTGAGTAGCGGATGGAACCTACAAAGAACCGGCTTGAACGAGAAACCCTAATAAGCTAAGCACCAAGGCGGAGCGAAGCTTTAAGAAGACGGATTTATTGATTGATGAACCTAGTGAAGCAGGTTTGTGAGAAAGAAAAGCCTTTGATTGATGAACCAATAAGTGAAGTAGGTTCACTCACTCTTCAATTGCTATTCCTTGTTGTTCACTGCTTAGGCTGACTTCTACACTTACCTTGAGAATCTAGAAATTATGCCTTTTTTTACGTTTCGGGGTTGTTCTTTTTTTTCGATTATTCTTCGCCTTGTAGAGAGGTCGGTTATGCTAAAAAAGACTGGGTTTTCATTCCCCCATCTTGCCCCCTTGTTCCTGCGCCGACCCATCCCTGGCTTGAAGGTCCGTTCCCATTTCTGGGTGACCCACTAGCTCTGTCATTTGAAGGTCACTCTTTGTCAGGCAAGCCCCTTGTTTGTGGGTGGAGCAAGACTGATTTCTCACTTACATCCTACAACTACCGCATATCCTTCCTTCAGCACTTTGCCTTAGTGTCTAGCTTGACTGCTTTGTTTGGCTTTCAGCTGCCACGAGCTGGATTTGAACCAACTAACTTGAGATTTTGATCAAGCGACTTCCATTTGTCGATCATGGTTTTGGTTACCTGATTCTTCAATTGTTTTGGTTACATCCGGGGCCCGTCTTCGCGACGGACAGGTGGGGAGGTGAGCAGTCTTGCGACCGGACGAGCTCTTTCCTTCGTTGAATGAAAGAGGAGAGGGGTCCGCATATCTCAGTCCAAATCGAAGCCATTCTTTGTCAATTTTTTAAAGGCAATGAATTAAACCTGAGATTGCTAACCTCTTCCAGTGTCTCATTCAAGAGAGAGATCTCCCACTCATCTCGGCTCCGGCTGCTCCGCTCTGTGGGGGGTGCCGTCTCCTCGAGAACGAAGTGGTAGACCTACTCAGGGTCCACGCCAGAAGCTGCACTTTCTTGAGGTCCTCACGTAATGAGACCTAGGAGGAGATCTTGCAACTCCTGACGCAGTTCCATAATAAGGATAGAATCAGTTTCTGAAGCGAGTGATGCGAGGTAAGCTTGCTCTCCTCCAAGGGAGGCAGATGTCTCCAAAAAACTTTGGACATCACACAAGTAGCCACCTGGCTGCTCCTACGCGAGTGGCAAGTAAGCGTCCTCCCATGCCTCCAGTCATGAAATACAGTCGTACAAAGCCGCCTCGTTATTGGCTCTAACTGGGGGAAGCGGAACAGCTGAAGGCGGCACCAGTCCAGAGGAGGAAGCTTCCTCCTCGTCTTCAGAATCAGACCCCTCCATACCTTCATCAGCATCGTTATTGCTTGACGAGTCTTCTGATGAAGAAGCTTCCTCCTCGTCTTCAGAATCACACCCCTCCATATCTTCATCAACATCGTTATCGCTCGACAAGGCTTCTAAGGAAGAAGCCCCTTCAAAACCATCCTCCTGAGGTGGCATTGCCTCCCCCCAAAAACCCTCACTACTAGTGACCGCAGTCGCGTTTCAAAAGCACTCTAGTGTAGTGATTAATGAATAAAAAGAGTGTGTTGCAGAAACTCCACAAATCTTGCAGAGTTTTGGCTTTGCAGCATGACTTAATTAGAATTCCAACCAACTCCCCTATTTCCTATTCCAGTCCTATTCCAACCAACTCCCCTATTTCCTATTCTAATTCTATTCCAACCAACTCCTCTTCCTATTAATTTCCTATTAAGCCATTTAATGCTGCAGTCGTAGAGCTCTTTGCTCGCGAAGCGGTATACCGAAAAGATGAGAAAGATAAAACACTGAACACTAACCCAATTTCAATTGTCTCATCACACAAATTCAATTTTTTTTAGATGAGAACATGCACAGACACAGACAGAGAAGTTAGTTTGTTTTCAGGAAGAAAGAAGAAAAATTCGTGAAGGTGATGAGAGCCTTTCCTAACAGGATGAGTAGTTATATATGCAAATAGTGCGATGTGACTTTCGACTCCGCAGGATCGGAAACTGGTAGGGCTGAGTTTCTAGTCAACGTAGCGAATTTATGAGGTGGTTGGCTAAAACCACGTTAGAGGGGCAATCTCCTTCTTTGTCTTTAGGTTGCTGTTCTAATCCACTGAAATCGAGGTTCACCAGTACCGTAGGTTTGGATCAAGTTTCACAATAAGTGATCCACGACGTGAGTAGAGGATGGTTCTTAGGCCATCAGACCCGAGGTCGGCTTTGATGGGTGGGGTCGTGAACTCTATGATGGGTCATTCTATGAGAAACCAGGTGCTCTTCATCCAGACATCTCTTGGCACTCTTAGAGCGAATGGGCTCTTAGGTGGATGGGGGGAAGGAGTGTGTTAAGCATTGGTACCGCTGAATCGGATTACACTGGATCCATCATGCAACTCAGAGTTGCACGTTACCCCGGTTCGTCATTTCATATTATGCTGCGAGCCGCTTGTCAAGCTTACCCTTGCGGGCGATGTCCAGTGTTGCTGTGTCTCGTCTTTGTATGATTGAATGAAGGTTCACACCTTTCCTACTATAGGTGAGATGTTCATCGGTTACACTTGAATCATACTATAGTATAAGTATAGGATCATCCTGGAAGTCCTTTTTGATACACCTGTTGTTCGAACAACGTATGATTATAATATTATTAATCACATAATAATATTATAATTATTATATTATAATTATTATATAATAATTATTATAATAGTCCATACTAGTAGTAATACTGGTACTCGAAATTGTGATTATAATACTATTATTAGTACTATTAATACTAATAACTCCTATTTCTTTCTTTTTCCTTCCTTTATTTTTCTTCGGATCGAAAATAGAAGAGTTGAGTGAATCCAAAATCCAAAGGAGGTTCATGGCCAAAGGTAAAGATGCTAGAGTAAGAGTTCTTTTGGAATGTATCAGTTGTACTCGAAATGGTGTTATGCTAAGAAGGAATCACCGGGCATTTCCAGATAGATTACTGAAAAGAATCGACACAATACACCTAGTCAATTGGAATTGAAGAAATTTTGTCCTTATTGTTCGAAGCATATGACTCACACAGAGATAAAGAAATAGATAGAACGTGTGCCAAAATTCCAAGAAAAAAGAAGAAATTCAATATTCTATATTAAAAAAGAAAATTCTATTTATGGCGGATCAAGATGAATGAAGAAAGAAAATGTGATTTTGGATATAAGGAATAAACCATGGATAAATCCAAGCAACCTTTTCGTAAATCCAAACGATCTTTTCGTAAGCGTTTGCCCCCAATTGGATCGGGGGATCGAATTGATTATAGAACCATGAGTTTCAATCTCTTCCTGCTTTCAGTAACTGAACTTGACAGAGGGCATAGGCACTACTGGAAGCCTTCCATACCTTATAGTATAGGGTGGGTAGGAAATACAAACTACTGGAAGTCGTGCCCTATAGGGCCTAAGGACGACTCTTCCCTTTCCTACGGGAAAGCCAGGGAGTAAGGAATGGAAAGGGCTTCGCCTTACTCGTTCGGCTGCCTCACTCGCTCAGGAAAGAAAAGATTGACTACTACAGACCTAATAAAGCTTCAAACATTTGGGAGCTTGTTCTATCAGGCAGTACCTGCCTACTTGTGTGACTGTTCCTGCGGATATGCAAAAGCGGCTTATGCTTTGAATGCTGGTCATAAGTTTCAGCTGCTTGCTGGTTTCAAACCTGATAATATCTCTGAGTTCAAACATGAAGTAACGAAGCAAGGCAATGCCGCTTTTGATCAATGAGGAAGAATGACAGTGGGTAATGAGCACACCTTCATCCAATGCTCTCATTTATTTCAATCCCGCGGCTGGTATAGGAAGAGGTTTGAAGCAAAAGGGGCCTTCCGAAAATAAGGGCCAAAGTTCCTGTCAATTTTGCAAGCGTCAGTCTTTCAAACTTTCAAATCGGCAGGAAAATGGTGTAACTACTGAAGGCCATTCAAGCGAGTCTCCTCAACATGTTGGGCTGGTTCCATTCTTATGTGTATCTCCATCCGTTCCAGTACCGAGTGATTTATTGTAGCAACTTTTTGCTTCCTTGAGCATGAGCCAGGGTACAACTGATTCTGCTGCTTCTTATGCTAAGACTTTGCATCAGGCATCAGGTACTCTCTTTCCTCGCTACAGGTCTCTGGAGGGCAATTCATCTTCTTCCCCTGATTCTGGATTCTGGAGCGTCTAACCATATGACGAGTAACTCTTTTATGTTTACCTCTTAGATTATACCACCTCGTGTCCTTCTTGCTGACTTCTTGCTTTACCTATTAAAAAAGCAAGTCTATCTCCTTCTTTGTCTTTGTCCAAAGTTCTTTATATTCCTGAATTGAACCCTTTCCATCCATTAGTCTGAGTCTTTTTGTTAAAACCTTGAACGGTTCTGTGACTCTCTTTCCTTCTCATTGTGTCATTCAGGACTGAGAAGATGATTGGACGAGGTAAAGAGAGAGAGGGACTCTATTTTATGTTATGGACGTGGCTTCTTCATAAGAATTATCTTCGTTGGTAGCTAATGTGGTTAGCAGTTCAAGGTTCAACGAATAAAGCTTGGGAGGTTTCCCATAAAAGGTTGGGACATCTTCATGATCTTGTCTCAAATGACTCGCCAAGGAAGTATACCTTGAGCACCCTCAATTCTGGTTTTTTTTAGATAATAAGACGACTTGATCTACATGCCAATTGGCAAAGCATTGGTTATCTTCCTAAAAAAAATGAAAAAATTCTTGAGATTATGAAAATCTTGTTCACTCCGATGTCTGGGGACCTGCATCCACTACTTATTCTGGCCATCGTTATTTTGTCACCTTTGTAGATGTCTAGAGCTACATGGATTTATACGTGAAATGTGAAAAAAGAATGAAGTCATGTGTTGAAGGCGGTCCCACACAATTTTATAAGAATTTTTTTATTTTAAGAAGGGTAGCAACTTAACACTTTCTTATTTGATAATGGCATCAACCATCACATGTGCTTATTAGTTGAGGAATGGTTGGTGGCTGAAAGGAAGAACATACATATCTTAGAGGTTGCTAGAGCTCTTTTGTTTTGATAGAGATGAATGTTCCCAAGTCCTATTGGTCCGCTGCTGTTATGACTTACAGTTGTTTTGTGCCCTTTTGCGGGAGAAGCTTGATCCTTAGGCACACAAGTGCATATTCCTTTGATATCCTTCTTCTCAAAAAAGAAAAAAAGGAGAGAAGTCTTACTGTGACTAAGAAGATGCATATTTCAATGCATGTCACATTCTTTGAGAGCTATCCATCTTTTTGTGCCTTCTTCTTCCTGCTCCTGTCCCGGGAGATAGCCGTGAATTGAGACAGAGAGTCTCATCAGAAAGAACAGCAGGTGCAGCAGGAGACCTCATCAGGGCAGCCCCTATCTGAGCAGCAGCGGGCACGTGATGTGTTTCAGACGCTCTCGTCGAGATTGTTCAGACCTGGAGAGTCCTCTCTCCCTCTATCCTCAACTGATCAAACTTCCACCGTCCTCCTCCTTGATAAAACGTGAGTGAGGGAAAGACATAAAGAACATATAAGTCGCGATCGCGAAGGCCACTACTCATTCTTATCGATGTAATAGAACGTATCGTAGATAGCGGCGGGGTCGTAAGAGTCGGTCTTGTATGTTCTTTTTTGCGTCTAGACCACTTAAGAGAAGTCTCTTAGACGTCAAGGCAGATGTTGTTGGGGCAGTGACGGAGGAGGCAGAAGCCTGCTTCGTCAGGGGGAAACTGGGGACAACCTCTCGCTCTTCTATAACGTCGGACTACCTTGCCAAATTGTAGGGACCTCCACGAACTCTATTCTACGATGCCCCAAAAAAACGAGGAGCCCGACTCCCTTCTTTCTTCTTGATAGCTCCTTTTTTGTTTGCTCTTGCCCGATGCAGTGTTATGCCCGGCTCTTGCATCATTCAAAACAATAGCCGGCTGGTTTAAAGCTCTATTCTATAGGTTCAATGCCCCGCCCCACTATAAACCATGCAAAAAAGCATGGAAGAAGAGACACAGAGCAGATGAGTCAAGCTGTAGAAAGGGGAAGAGCGGCGCAGTGCTTCTATACTGTGGCTAAACTCTAACCTAGAAGCTTAACACATCAAGTCATATGAAGGCACTACTTTTAAAGTCAAGTCAAGGCGACCACCCCTGGATGGAGGCGGCCCGCCCGGTACATAGGATGATTAATGTAATGTAAAAGAGGCCGAGTGAGCTTTCTAACAAAAATCAAATAACATAACAAAGTACGAAGGACCAACGATGATCTTTGAGAATAAGGAGTAGTAGTAGGAGCTAATTCGGATGGAATCGAAAGATTACGAGATAGACAATGAGACAAAGTTGCCTACCAACGAGCAAAGCCCCAGCGAGTTCAGTCGTTCGCGCAACATCAAAGCCCTCGTTGTTGAGGGATTTTTGCTGCTGCCCAAAAGCCGCTTTGCGAGTGCTTTTGGAGAGAGCACTTAGACAACAGGGAAGTCAGCTGGGAGGAATTCCTCTGGGCATATTACGGTTTTTCACTAAGGGGGTGGATCGAAGCGATTGCATCGAAGAATTGATTTGAAACGAAGCACTTCGTCTATGGGCATTGTAGAAAGGATCAAATATGACCCAAATCGTTCTTCTCGGATCGCCCTAGTACGATGGATCGAGGGGGTGCTGCTACGTTGCCAGAGGAGATGCAACGCGATAGAAGAGTTCGCTCTGCCGATTCAAATCCTCGAACATACCACGGCCACCATCAACAGCCTATTTTCGTTCTCTTCCCTGCCTAGGAAAGTGGATCAAAGAAAGGTAGCTTGCTTCTCTCCTGGACTGATGGCAGCTTATGTAGTGGTTGGCCTTCCTACCAGAGTGCCTCTACTCCTAAAAGCGAGCACAAAAGCGACAAGCAGTTGCTTCCTAGCTCAGGAAGGAGGCATTTGAAAGGCCGACCACTAAATAGGCATTCTGAGGAATTCCAACGACAAGACTACGACTACAAAGAGCGATAGAGAAGACAAGCCTATAGGCATAGAAGCGAGTCGTCAGAAGAGCGTCGCCAGAAGAAAAAGAGCTTATATAGGGGTCGGCCTTCCTACCAAAGTGCCTCCTTGATAGAAGAGCCAGGCCTGCGCAGGAAGCAAAAAAAGTTGTGTGAAGGACATTTTCTTCTCTGCCCTCTCCTCTCCAAAGGCCAAGGGAGAGACTGCATCTTACCTTTCCTTTGGTAGCTCTTTTTGTTTCCCAAGGATAGCGGTAGCTGGGGCAAAGCCCACTTTCTTCGCTCCACGAATGAGAGAGAAAGTCAAAGGAAAAAAGACATTCTCTCTTTGCGAGGTCCAAAAGTGGAGAATGCATAGCATTCTCTGGGCGCATTGGATCAAACATAAAGCTGCGCTTTCTTGGCAAAGTTCTCGGCAGCAAGAAACTTTAGGGCTTGTTGGAGCTGTTGAGCATAACGAATCAAAGCCGAAGGTGGATCAAGTTAGCTTGCTACCAAGCCAAGTGCTTGCTTGCGCTTTATGTAGTGGTCGGCCATCCTACCAGAGTGCCTCTAGAAGCTTCTACGAAGCTTTGCTTTCGATAGAAGCTAGTCGCTTTGGTAGCTTGCCTGCCAAGCAGATAGGCGAAGGGCTGAAGGATGGAGCCTGGAAAGTTTTTCATGCACCTGTCGTGTGAGCCGTTGGTCCTAAGCAATGTCTTTCGTGAAGCGACCCACTATGAAAAAAAAGAGAACTTCGATCGGATGCAGGTATCCAATACCATCGCTGAGATGCCGAGCTGATTTCTGGGCCTTGACGAATGGCCGGCCACCTTTGACGTTAGAAGAGCAAAAGGCTCAGGGCATAGCAGGATGAACCAATGTGAATGAATGTATGCTTCGTTGCCCAAACACGATAAGTGCTGACCACACTAAGTGCTACCATGTAGCAAGAGAGGCCAGGCGGTGACAATTGAGAGGTTGTCACTGAGCATTCCTAGTCACACGGGAAGAGAGGTAAAATGGCAAGGCCAAACGCCCGTGTGGCTCCTCACGGAGTATAGCTTACATCCAAACATCTGATTAGGGAACAGGGCAACGCCCATGAAGATGAAAATCGGTTGTATAAAATATTCTCAGTGGAGGATCGGAGCTTTTTTGACCAATTGTTCAAGTCCGAAAAAGATCTGTTCAAGAAAGAAGAAGATAAATTTCGGGTCAAACCAACAACCAGATTGTGTAGTAATAATGAATGCAGATAAAGAGTCCTCAGTCATACTCGAAGCTGATCGATTACAAATACCTATTGCATCTTCAGTGGATTCGAATATCCCATTGGAATCCTATAAAAGAATCACTTATCCCATTCTAGCGAATGATCCTATACAGTTCGTATATCAATTTCGTAATTTGATCATGAAAATAATTCTTCATGAACAAGGAAGAATCATTACAATGAAGGAGACTGCGGGACAAGAAAGAACTCATCGATCAACCGTTTCCAAGAAGAAATTTTAGTTGATCGGTCGAGTGGTCTCAGTGGGACCTATTTATGGATTGAACAAGAATTGTACGATGTCAGGCTGGGCTGGATGGAACAAGTGCGTCCTAGCCCAATCGTGGTGGTCGCTTCGTACACAACAGCCAATGTCAAGAGGCAGGGTGGGCGTTGTGACGATGTGGAGAGGAGAGGTCGTGTTTGCCTTGCTTCTGGATATAAGAATATATAATGCTGTTTATGGAGGATTCAATTCAGTCTGACACCCGATTGGACCTGTTATGCGCCTCCAGTCCTTGCTTGAGACCCTTCTTCGCCTTCGGGTTGAAGCCCAACTTTGTGTAGTTGGGAGAAACAGAACTTTGGTCATGGAATTCTTTCTCCTTGATCATTGCGGCCTTCGTGACTAGAGGGATTGCCTTCGCCTTCCTTCATTCTAGCAGCAAGTAGTTCTTATGCTTCCCCCGAAGGTAGGGGGCTGAACTGGCGATCGACACGTACGTCACTCCGGGCTAAGAAGCCCTCGGCACGTTTGGGAGGACCTATGTCCCTCCTCCCTCACTCATTGAACTACATCGCCTGAGTGTTTTGGACCAAATGCAGTGGTGGTCCTAATCAATCATTCTATGATGATGCCATTATAGGCACCGCCATCCCTCTCGTACTACCACGAGGGCACCGGACGATGGGAAGGGAAGGTTTTTGTAAGCGAGACACAACAGCTTGCGAGAGATGGTGGAAGAGAAGGGTGCGCTAGCACCAGCGGGGCGGGTTGGTGCACCAGTCGGATCAAGTTGTTAGCGGACAAGTGCCATGCTAAAGAAGTGGCTATTAGTGCCATGAAAGGGAGCTCCGAAAAAGCAGGAAATTTCCTGCCTGATCGTGGGCCTAGTCCCGGAGAGGAGGGGTGTATAGTGCAACTTGTTGGACATGTCATTCGGGATTTCCATCTCCCCCGATCGAGTCCCTACTTTACCTAAGATCAATTGAACTATAAAGAATTTCCAACGTTCAGTTTAGTTTGCAGTTTCAATGTAAATCATTTCGGCCCAGACCAATCAAATGAACCAGGCACATCTGATTCCTATTCATCCAATTTCTATTCTATGTTAGGATCGAATATTTGTTTGACAGAAGGCATAAAGCGTGATGGAAGAAGTGGAACAAAAGGAGAAGAAATGGCAGTAAGATCATTCATTTTGTCTATGTGTCCGGGCAGGGAAAGGGGAGGCAAGCGAGCAGCCGCTGAAATACAACATGGTCCGGCCAGTACAACGCAGGCATTGCAAATCAACACATAGGAAGGGGATCTCGAGCCGCTTACTGAAGAGAGAGGTTAAGAAACGTGATGTGCATGAGATCGAGCCACGCTCGCCAAGTCTCTAATCAGGGATATCGAATATAAGTAATTTTGGGACCTACGAAGACTCACTACGAATGCGAGGTCGGGTATCAGCCGACTAATGGGTCGCCACGGGAAACAGGGCAGGTCTGGTATTAAGAAAACTGACGCTTCTTAATATGATATGAAACTCATTCTTCCGCTTATCAGGCTTGGCCCCTTTCTTTCTTGTGCTCGCTCTCTCCTGTCATGCATCATGGCTGGGTGGAACACGAAGACATCATCCCTTTCTTTTGGCCAAGATTTTGATCTCACTAGTTGAGTTAGTTGGTATTCTTTCTTGCTTTTTCTTGCCTGGATTTTGAAGATGAGTACAGTTAGTCTTTCGGAACTTGGTTTTCTTTATACACCTCTTCTTGCCATGAAGGAAGGCATTTTGAACATCTAACTGAAAAAGTTCCCATCCGCTGCTATGGACAGAATGCATCTTACATTGGTAATTTTAGCAATCGGAGCAAACGTTTCCTCATAGTCTACTCCCCCCCTTGGCTTAGCTACCAGACGCGCTTTGAACCTCTCTATCGTGCCATCTGTCTTATGCTTGACCTTGGAAAGCCATTTGCATCCAACAACTTCAGGCTAATTTCCCCAACTCTCAGGTCTTGTTTTTCTGCAATGCTTCAATTGATTATGCATTGCCTCTTGCCAACACTTTTTAGTTTATGCTTCTGTGGTTCTTTGATAGAAAAAAGAGAAGTGACAATGATTTCTGGAAAAAGACTCATAAGAGACAAAACACTCTATTGGAAACTTGGTACCAAATGAATGATGAATCAAGAGAGAAGGATCTGATACCTGAGTAGACTGATAGGCTGCTGTAGAGAGATGAGGAGGCTCTATGCTACTGGAGATTTGCGGTTGTAGCCCTCTTCCTTCTGGTAAGCTGTGTAATCTACTGTAATCGTGGATGCCGGGGTGCTCAATTGCTGCTTTTCCGTTTGCTGCTATTGCTCCTGTTCATTGTGACTGCCTAAGGCCTGTCGCAATTCACTGTGATTGTCTAAATTCTTCCCCAGGACAGGTAGAGGAAGAGTGGGATATGACTCTGAGGAGCTGTTCGGGCATTTCTTCTCTGAGGTTGTTCCTCGAAAAAGGTCACATGACGAGAGATAACCATTTTCTTTGTTATGAGAGAATTTATACCTTAATGAGAAGCCAGATAACCAAAACAGACTAATTTCCTTGCTTTTGAGGTTAAATATGAGCAAAACGCTTGGTTAAATATGAGCAAAACGAGTACTTCCAAATACACGTAAGTGATAATAAGAAGGTTTGCTCTTGAAGAGAGAACTTTTTTCTCTTTTCGAACTGCAGATCCCATTAAGTTAATCAAATAGGCTGCAGTCATTATTGCTTCTAACCAATAAGTTTTCAAAACATTCATATCCTGAGTGCACGAGCAACCTCTAACAGATGCCTCTTTTTCCTTTCTGCCGGGGTGTGTAAGGACATGTGTATTGATGAATAATTCCCCTTTTCCCTAAGAAGGAATGAAGATCTTTAGAGCCCACCATTGTCAGATCTAAGAATTGGAATGGACTTCTTCAATTGGGTCTTTCTTTTTGCACAGAAGGATTGAAAGATAGCACCAACTTTAGTGAGTATCTAAGCATATAAATCCATACCACTCTAGACATCCACAAATGAAACAAAGTATCGATAACTAGAATATGGGGGCAGGCCCCCTAATATGAAAAAACAAAACTTCGTGGCTGTCTCTTTTCAATTAACCAAACATAAGCAAAACAATCTTGATTGTCTAAACAAAACAAGTAGTACTGGAGAGAGAAGGGAGGCATTGAGACATTTGATTTAGAAGTTGATCATGCGAGTCTTTTGTGCCACAATTCCCATACCTAATTTCCTTTATTTGATGAAGTCACATCCAATGCCGAAAGTCATGGTGAGGAAGCCACATCCAACACATAGAGCCCTCCCACCTCTTTACCGTGTCCAATCGTCTTCCCGGTCCTGAACGACACAACAAGAAGGCGAACTCTTTCTAGTTTGACTGACCAATGGAGAGGTTTTCAAGCTTAGGTATAATAGAATGAAAACATCGTTTAAGTGCAAAGAAGGTGATAGAGCAACCTCTCTTTGATATTGAAAAAGGACAACAAGAACTACAACAAACAGGATTACCAAAGAATTATAGCGAGGATGTAAAAGCAAATGTGTTACCTATCATGTGATTTGTTGCACCAAAATCCAGAATCCGGAGTTGTAGAGCTGACGGACAAAGAAGAGTGTTTACCTTAAATAGTGAACTCTGTTAGCAGATGCAGCTGAAGATGTACCATTGACTTTGATAACTTATAGTTATTGTTGGAGAAGCTCATTAGGCACAAGCACGGTAGATGAGGGCTTGACTGGTTTGATTGCTTGTTCAGTGACCACTATGGTGACTATGTTTGATTGCTTGTTTTAGAGTCTTAAGTCTCTACCCTGTGTCCCTTCTTTTTGCAAGATTTGCAGAAAGGAGATTGACACCATTGCTTTCTAAGCGGACTCCTTTAGCAGTACCCTTTCCTCTTCCATATGAGGGAGCAAAGGATACTAAAGCTGAGTGATCAACAGATGCAACAACACTTCTTGCAATTGATTGTCTTTCCTCTTCATCAAGTAGATAGGGGACCAAGCAAAGGAAGAGCGCGCTAGCACGAAAGCTGTTGCACGGTAGCGCATATGTTTTCTTTCTCTCAACACTTTTTATAGATGCTTAGGATTTCTATATTCAAAGTTTGATCGTAAGCCAACAAGAAGTTGAAATAAACGATGTTTCTGGTAATGATTCAAAAGGGCTTGCTTGGACCCACATTTGCATTCACAAGAGCATGCTCTAACAGGTGTATAGTTAGGACTTCCAACCATTAAAAGAAACAACGTATGATTATACTATAGGAATGAAATAGCGTATGATTATAATATTATTAATATTACTAATAATATTATTATTAGTACTATTAATAATTTTATTACTAGTATTATTAGTATTAGTAGTATTGATAATATTAGAAGTAATAATAGTATTATTATTAGTACTATTAATAATAATATTTACTAGTATTATTAGTAGTAGTATTAATAGTAGTAATACGAGTAGTAATGCTAATAGTAATAGTAATACTACTACAACTGCTAGTATTGCTATTATTATTACTATTATTACTACTATTATTATTACTACTACTAGTGATACCAGTACTACTACTAGTATGTAGTATTATTACTAATAGTAGTAGTAGTAGTAGTATTATTATTACTACTACTATCATTACTACTACTAGTAATACTAGTACTACTATTAGTATGTAGTATTATTACTAATAGTAGTAGTAGTAGTATTATTATTACTACTACTATTATTACTAGTTATAATAATATTAGCACTAATATTACAAATACTAGTATTACTATTATTATTAGTATTACTAATACTACTAGTAATAGTAGTATTACTATAACCAGTATTAGTATTAGTAGTAATACTACTATTACTACTACTATTAGTATTACTATTACTATTGGTATTACTACTACTACTACTACTACAATTACTATTAGTAATATTACTAATAATAATACTATTAGTAATAAAAATACTAATACTAGTATTAGTAATACTATTACTACTAGTATTAATACAAGTACTAGTAGTAGTAGTACTAATACTATTACTACTAGTAGTATTCCTACTAGTATTAGTAGTACTAAAGTGCTATAGTAGTATTACTATAATAGTACTGCTACTATAATAGTACTACTACTATAATAGTACTATAGTAGTAATTAATAGTATTATTACTAGTAGTACTATTAATAGCAATAGTAGTAGTATTAATAGTACTCGTATTATTAGTACTACTAGTATTAATAATACTATATGAATACTACGACTAATACTAGTAGTACTAATAGTAT